GTATTTCTATCATAATACCTGTCATACTGCATACATTTACTGATCTACAAGCTCCTCCTCTCAGATAGTTTGGTTATTGTATACTATTCCAATATTTTTCTTTACTACAGATCATTTCTCCACCTTGCTCTCAATAAAAAATGTAAAGTGTTTAAAAAAGAATAGTTGACATACTGTTAGCTATTATTACTTATGACAACTGAGTGTTATGGCACACATATTACCCCAAGTCCAATCAGCTGCCATTATAAATAAAATTATAATGGAAAGCTACTGTTTCACCTCTCATTAGTACTACTTTCAGCTGTAACATATTACAAGTGAGAATACAAATTTCCCCCAGTAACTGTAACTAAAGATTTACTGGAAGGAATAAAACAGCAAGAACTACAATTAAAGACCTGGTATTTAAAAAACAAGGAATTACGTGTCCTGGACAGTATTATGTTAGAGGTATTAAAAAACATTATTCCTACTGTAAAAGCATTTGTGTTGGCACTGTGAATGCCATTTAAAAATTAAAGTTGTCATTCATTACCAGGGAATAAATTTAAATTGTCTTCCCCACCCCCTTCCCCTGAAAAAAATTGTATGTTGAAGCTCCAACCCCTAATGTGATTGTAATTGGAAATCAGGGCTTTTAGGAGGTAACTAAGGTTAAATGAAGTGGGGGGGGGGGGAGGAAGGGTAGAGACTGGGAGTTAATCTGATAACATTAGTGACTTTATAAGAGAGGGAAGAGACCCCTAGGGTCATTTATATTCTCTTCCTCTCCCTGTCCTGCCTTCTCTCTGCAGCACCTAGGGAAGGCCATTTGAGAAACACAATGAGAAGGCAGCCATCTGCAAGCCAGTTAAAGAGAGCCCTCACCAAGAATCAAATCAGCCAACACCTTGATCTTAGACTTCCCAGCCACCGGAACTGTGAGAAACAAACTTCTATTATTTAAGCCCCCAGTCCAAAGAATTTTAGCAAGCCCAAGCAGACTAGTAGTCATAGAAGATGAATGTCATCAAAGGAATTTCTCTTGGCTTTTGAAGTGAAAAATTTCCTATTTGAAATTGTAATTTAAAAATATTTTCTTCCTAAAAATAAAAAATATTTTCTTATGTAAAAAAGGCTTGCAAGGGAGAAACCAAGATGGCGGCATAGGTAAACACCTGAAATTGCTGCCTCGCACAACCACTTCAAAACTACAATTAAAAGACAAAACGGACATCATCCAGAGCCACAGGAAGGCTGGCTGAGTGGAAATTCTACAACTAGAAGGAAAGAGAAAAGCACACTGAGACTCAGAGGAGGTGCGGAAGTAAAGTGCAGAGGTACGGAGGCGCGCACGGAAAGGGCTGGCAACTGAGGACGCGGTTGTCTTTTTCAATCGGGAGGGAGACACAAGCTCCCGACGACCCCGACTCCAGTACCGGGCAAGTCTCTGGGGACCCAGACTCATACGGGGAGAAACTTGGACTGTCTGGCAGCAGGCGGAACTCGAGGGCGGCTTTCTCTCAGAGGTGCTTGCAGCAATTATCCGGACACTGAGACACGGGGCCTCTTAGGGTAGGACTGAGGATCAGCCATAGCTGTTT